TTCTCGCTACAGTGATACAAAGAACTCTTGCTACAACGACTTATTCTCTCTGTAGCGAGAGGAGCGTAAAATTGCTTTCATGAAATTTAGCATTCTCGCTGCAGCAAGGGTAGCTCGTTACAACGAGAAACCTCCAGAAGCTGGCTTTTCTGTAACTTTATGCTTTATATGTCCTTTTTCTTAATTTTTCAAATTTCTTCAACTTTGAGTGATGTCTCTCTTCTGATTTCAACTACAAAATATATCAAAAAAAATAAATTAAAACACTTATATTTGCATTCTTTTCTTAAAATATACAAGTAATTGTAAAAGTTTCAAGTTTAAGGGGAATTCAACCAAAAATTCCAACTTAACATGAAAAGTGTTTAAGTCATTACCTAAAATTACCCAATTTATACATTTATCACATTAACAATTAACATCTTTTATATATAAGTTTATAAATACGCTATTCAATTATGTTATACATTAAATATCAAAAATTAAAATATTAACCTAATTATGTTAATTAAAAGTGAAAAACAATCATGACAATAAGAATAACAACAATTAAAATATATAAACTAGTAATTTCAACATTTATATGTAATAAGTTTTATAAGTGAGTCTGACAAGATTATTGTGTTTAATACAATAGTTTTTTAAAGTAACAATAAAAAATCATTCTTAATATTGAAAAATTATTATATAAAGTTTAAATATTGCCAAGTCATTGCTAAGTGATCGTTACCTTTTTGTTTTTTATAATAATTTTTCATCTACAATCACACTAATACCTAACTGTGAAAGTGTTATCAAAATAGATTAAATGACAATGATTTTATCATTTTTTAAGCATTATGTGTTTTGAAAATTATATTTTAGTTGTGGGTAAGAAAATGTTGTTTAAAGCTTCAAACATTAGTTATATATTTTCCTGTATTAAATATAATATCTCTGATTTTTTTTTATAAGACACCGGTGTCCTTTTTTTATTAGATACTTTATAGTTTCTATGAAACAGTTATTATGTTTTTCATTTGGCCGAGTTAGTGGGAACTTAAATTTAGACTAAAGAGGAGAAATGGTAATAGATTTAATGGTATTAATTAAGGATAAAATTATTATTATTATATGTTTTAGAAAATTATGAAACTCAACTCACTTAAACTAGTTTTATTAGTTTAGTAATTCAGTTAAATTAAAGGTGCATGTAGAATGGAATAAAGAGAGAAATATAATAACACTTATGAGAGAAATTTGAATTATTTTTTAAAATAACGTGAATTTTTTTTTCTTGGTATAGTAATCTCATAAAGATCATCTCAAAATTCTCAATCTATTTTGAAGAATTTTAAAAATAAAGCTTCTATTGAGACTTAGATTTGTACTATTCAATTAATTTTAATCAAATATTCTTTTAAAAGATCTTGATCATATGCAGTCATTTAAATTAACAATTAAAATATGTTTATAATACATATAATTTAAATATACTGAATACTAAATATAAATAACTCTGTTATAATATGGATACATTAACTAGGTGAAATATATTCTATTATTTTTTATGCCTTAAGTTATTTGTCGTTACTTGAAATTTAAACAATAATAAATAAGTGAATAGAAATAATAATTTTAAATATAAGAGAAGGTAAATAACTTGTTGAAAAATATAAATCCTAAAAGCTCTCTTGTTCAAAAAATACCAAAAAAATTGGTATATACAAGACACTGATATAATACAGAAACGTGTAAGTATTTTTCCTATGAATTTGATTAAGTGTAGTGTGAAGCCATAAATTAAAAGCAACACTAAAACACAACAGCCTCATACTAAAATTTGGCATCGCTGTTCGAAGGAATGACTCCTCATACTAAAATTGAAGATTTTAATTTACCAAAATTTAAAGGCACTGAACAAAACATGCAACACTTATTTACATTACAATCTATCGCATGAAATTAGTAATAGATCACAATATCAAATTAATCTAAGCTATAAACCCAGAAGATGAACTATATCATTAATGTATAAAAGTAAAGGCAAGAATAGTTGTTACCAAAAGTAGGGCATATGAATGAGAAAATACTCAATATTTTGTACTCGGCTACATAGCCGAATTTGGCAACTCGGTTTATGAAGTCACTTTGAATTTTATTGAAAGCGAGAAAAATTAAAAAAATCCTTTTAAAAAGAAAAATATTCTGAGATCCTGAATAGTAAAGAAGAAACTATTTTTCTAGTTGATTAGTATTTAAATTCAAGAAATTGCATCTATATTAGCTTTGTATAAATAGCTATTCTTAAAGATAGAGGTCGTGGGTCAAAAAGATTTTAAAAAAAACGCTACTATAATATAGTTATATTACGTTTGAAACATGGGTGAAAGTTGAAAAACGCGTATTAGCTTATTTTATATCATTCATTTCATTTTTTGGCTTTTGTGGATCTCTCCTAATTCCTGGGTCCATATACCACTCTTCTAACGCTGTTTCTTAATCGTTTTCAAACCACTCTTTCTTGTTTTCATATTCAACTAACAATGTGAAATGAAAGGTCAATTTTATAAATTATTTTATATTTTCAATAACAGTTTCATGATAAATATTTAAATTTAAAATACTGACATGATTACATGCATAAGAATAAAGAAAGAAAACGAAAAATATGATGAAGTTGTACTTCAGTTTTTTTTACCAAACGCGTGAAGCACGAGTGGCGTACTTCTAGTCTTCATTTTCCTCCCTGTTTTTACACATTGATTTCATTCCTCTCTTTGAATATCAGTATCAACTCTTTAAATATGGTAAAGTTATAAGTCATTTACATCTTGTTCGATTTCATCAAATGTGGAAACTTTTTTAGTTTTGTTTCATTATTGGCGGCCGAGACAATAATGACTTTAATATTTTAATAAATTAATCAAAATAAATATTGGATTGAATAAAATTACATTATTCATTGTTTACAAAATATCGATTATATTTATTAATTACTATCACAAATTAATCATCATAGTAAAAATATAATTTGACAAAGTTTACAAAATAAATTAGTTAAATATATAAAGAAAAATTAATTTGTTAGTCTTTATAATTTTCTTTATTAAGTTGATGCAAAATTTAAATGTTCGAACGATAAATTAATGTAAAATATGTCACCAATAATAATATGATCTAAAGAAAAAATATTTTTGAAAGATAAGTATAGTAAATGAAAATATATATAAAAAATAAATTATCAAATTATGTAAAAATACTATGTTTTGTTATTGATACATAATGGTGTAAGGATATAATTACAAAAACTTAAAAGGATAAGGACTTAATTAAAAGTTTTAAATTATAACAATTTAATAAAAAATTATAAGAACTATGAGATTAATTTAATTAATATAAAATATAATGTTTTCGTAATTAGTTAAGTATTTGACAAATTTTAATGTAATTTGTCAATTAAATATTTTATTTATCTCAATTAATTAAGCACAATAATTTGATAATATGATATTTAACTCAATTAAATATCATTTAGTATATCTCACATAATCACTAAAAAAATAGACAAGTCTTTACTACAATTACCAAATTTAACACCTTGAATAATTGGTTGTGTAAACGAAAACTTAGGCTATGTTTAATATAATATTATGCTAGGAGAGTTTTAAAGTGATACTAAATATTATTGGTAAAATTTATTCTTAAAAAATTTAAATAACATCAGGTATATGAAATAATAGTATTAGATAACATTATAAAATGCATTATAATAATATCTAATAAGAAAGTTTTATATATAATTTATGAGTGTAAATTTTAAGAACGTTTTTAAGAAAATTTTCAAATGACTGTACTTTTAAAATTTGGTTCTATTTTTTATTATGCTAGGTGTTTTAATTATGTTAATTATTTATTTTAATTCATTATTAAATTAATTTTTGAAAAATTTATAATTCAATTTTAATTGACATTTATTTATTTACCTGATATAATAAAATATTTCTTAAAAGTAAATATAATGTTTAACTTTTAAAAATTTGTTAAATTTCAAAATTGTTGTATAATATATATTTATAATTAATTAGTAAAAATTATTTTAATTTAATAATACCGTGCAATATACAGAAAAATTAGTTGTAATATTATGGTGTGTCAATTAATATTTAAATCTGAAAGAGAAAGTTTTTAATACGATACCTATTAATATTTAGTGTCATGAGTTTATATAGCTCTTCAGTTCAGTCCCACGAATTTAGTTACAATTCAGGCAAAATAAAAACCCAAAGAGACTAAGAATGATACCAATAAAGTGCGTAACAATTTAAAATTGACAAATATACTTTCATTGTTTGAAATTATTGGTTCCGTTATTATTTATTTTAATTAGATTCAAACATTTGTATTATATATATACACGTTATTCTTTGACATAATTTCATTTTTAACCATAGTATTCATATTTTGTACAGATTATTTAGATTTTTCAAATTCTTTTTTTATATATAAATATTTAAAATATTAAATGATATTACAGTAATTTAACATTCGTAAAAACAAAAATATATAGAAACAAGAATAAATTGTATTAACTAAACAAAGTAATAGATATTATAATTTAGATAAATTATAGAAATTAAAATATTAAAATATTTAAAAATCATAAAAGATATTTAAAATAACTAGTTTTAAAGTTTGATAGATTGAATTAGAGCTGTTTAATAAATAAATTTTTAAGTGTATTTTTACTTTGATTTTCAACTAAATAAATTCTCTTTTTCTATTATATCCTAAAGTAAGACCCATAATCTAATTAGTACTATATTTGTAAATTTTTATTTTAGAATTAGTCTTTTAAGAATTTAGTGCGACCACATTTTTTTAGTCGCCTAAATATGTGAAATAAAAGAATAAATTTATTTATATTTTATATGTTTTCAAGGTTATATGTTTTTACACACTGCATTACTCTCATTCAATATTAGTATCAAGTATCAACCCTTCATCATTCTCTTTCACTGATGGCTGAGCTTGAGTCAGTGCCATTTGCTGTTGCATCAAATCTTATTCACAGGTTAGCTTCCCCAGATTTTCTTGAATTTGGACAAGAGTATGGTGTGATGGAAGAGTTAGAAGAGCTTAAGAACACTATTGAATCCATCAATGATAAGCTTCTTGACGCCGACAATAAACAAGATCAAAACGGTGGTGTGCGAGTTTGGATCAGAAAGTTCAAAAAAGTACTTCATCATGCAGATGACTTTTTAGATGACCTTGCTATCGAATTCAGAAGAGACAAATTGGGTGCAGCAAAAGGAAAAGAAGTAAACAAGGTACTTCTTTCCATTTCATCATCAAATCAAATTCCTTTATACAATGAAGTGCCTGACAAAATTAAAGAAATACGAGAAAGTTTTAATGATGTAGTAAAAGAAATGAAGGATTTGAATTTAAGCCCAAGATCAGGGGTAGTCAAGCAGACTAACCTTGAATGGAGGGAAACATGTTCTTTTGTGTTAGAATCAGATATCATTGGAAGAGATGACAATAAAAAAGAGATTATTAGTCTGTTGAGACAATCACATGAAAAGGAAAGAGTTTCTGTGATTGCTATTGTTGGCATTGGTGGTTTAGGGAAGACAGCTCTTGCACAATTGGTGTATAATGACTTGGAAGTGAAGAATTTTTTTGAAATGCAAATGTGGGTGTGTGTCTCTGATAACTTTGATGTGAAAACTATTCTGAAGAAAATATTAGAATCAATCACTGGTGACCAAGTTGAAGACAAGTTATCGTTAGGCAACTTGCAAAGAAAACTCCACCAAAAAATAAGTGGTAAGAAATATTTGTTGGTCCTGGATGACATTTGGAATGAGAGTTATGACAAATGGGCTGAATTGAGAAAGTACTTGATGTGTGGCGCTCAAGATAGCAAGATTTTAGTAACAACTCGAAGTGATAATGTATCAAAGGCAATGACTGCTGGTACTTCCTATCCTTTGAAAGGTTTGACTGACGAAGAATCTTGGAGTTTGTTGAAGAACATTGCATTTGAGGATGATTCCAAAGAAGTGAATCAAACTCTAGAATCAATGGGGAAAGAAATAGCCAGAAAATGTAAAGGGGTTCCACTGGCGGTCAAAACGCTGGGAGGCTTGTTACGAGGACAAACTGAAGAAAGTGAATGGAAGAATGTTTTACGTGATGACTTCTGGAAATTATGTGAAGAGCAAGATAGTATCATGCCAATTCTAAAACTCAGTTACCACAACTTGTCTCCAGAAATGAGACAATGTTTTGCTTACTGCTCTTTATATCCCAAGGATTCAAGAATTCCAAAGAATGAGTTGATTCCGTTATGGATTGCACAGGGTTATCTTGAATGTTCAGCTGAAAAACACCGCATGGACATGGAAGATGTTGGTAACCAATTTGTAAAGATTTTTTTGATGAACTCATTTTTTCAAGATGCTGAGAGTGATCAATATTGTGAGATCATTAGTTTCAAGATGCATGATTTAGTGCATGATCTTGCAATGCTTGTTGCTGGCAATGATTGCTGTTACATGGATAGTAAGGAGGAAAAGGTTGAAGGTAGTCCCATGCACGTGTGTTTGGAAGCTGGGGCCATTCATATATTGGATTCATTGAATGCAAGCAGACTGCGAACTTTGATTTTGCCGGAGACGTGCAGTCTTGAAGAGGAGGAAGTGTCTGCTGTTGTTACAAAATTCAAATACTTACGCGCCTTGAGGATATCATATCTTTGCAAATGGTCTGATTCAATTGGAGAATTGAAGCATTTAAGATATCTTGATATTAATGGTTTGCAATACCCATGGATTAAGATACCAGTTGGGTTGGGAAAACTATGCTCTTTGCAATTCTTACCAGTCCTGTTCGTGGGAGATAGCGAAGAAACAAACTGTTGCAGCACACTAAATGAATTGAAGGATTTAAACCACTTAAGGGGAGAATTAACAATTGATTATCTGAGTAATGTGAGAGACGTGGCTCTGGAATCACAGGATGTAAACTTAAAAGAAAAGAAGTTCCTTCAATCCTTGACTCTGACATGGTTGGATGAAGACGTTAACAGTGACAGCATACAATTACTAGAAAACCTTCAGCCCCACCATAATCTTAAGCGATTGGAGGTGAATTGGTATCCAGGCGTGCTTTTCCCAAGTTGGCTTTCTCTCCTCATAAATGTTGTTGACATCACTCTCGTTGGGTTAGTTAATTGTCGCTGTCTCCCACCGTTGGAACGTCTCCCGTTCCTGAAGTCACTTAAGATAGATTTTCTTCGTGAATTGGAATACATAGATCTTGATGAAGATGGTTTTGCAGTAACCTGCTTCCCATCTTTGAAGAGCCTTGTATTAACAAGTTGTGATAAGCTCAGGGGATGGCGGAGGTGGAGAGATGATATCAATGATTCACATAATCTCTCTCTACCTCTTTCATTTCCTCATCTTTCTCGTCTAGTCGTTTCTTTCTGTCCACAGTTGACTTGCATGCCTACTTTTCCAAAAGTCAAGGTTTTAGACTTGAATGACTGCAGTGCAGAGCCATTAAGAGTAACATTAAACGCAACAGTGTCAACATGTTCGGCTGACTCATCTTCTTCCGTTGCTCCTCTTTCCATGCTCAAAGAATTGACGATTTCTGATCATATAAATTTACCAAAGGGTTGGATGCAAAATCTGACTTCTCTCGAGTCTCTTCAAATTCAAAACAGTGAATTACTTGAAGAATTTGAGACAGAGTTTAAGGACGACAACAATTGCCTTCCTTCTCTGCGAAAAATCAACATAAGAGAGTGTGAAAGGCTAAAGGCTTTGCCAGATTGGATTTGCAACCTCTCATTGCTTCACCATATCACAATCTCAAGCTGCCCAGAATTGGCATTTCTACCCGAAGGAATGAGTCGTCTTACCAACTTAAAGATCTTTGAGGTCAAGAATTGTGCCCTCTTACTTAAAGAATTCCGAACAGAGACAAGTGATGTTATTCGCCAAATTGCACACATCCCACAAATTATCCTGAGTAATTGGTTCTGAGGATAAAGGTGATGATCTGATGCCCTTTTCTATCAAAAGCAGGTTTGTTTTTGTTTTTGTGTAAACATGTTAAACTCAACCGTGCCTGTTTTCTTTGCTAATAATATTAATTTTTAATTGTTAAACAATATCGTAGCCTGTGTTTAAATTGATATTACATATTTAATCCTAATAAGTATTTTTTTTCTTTGCACTGGTATTATTAAAAAATATATAATTTAAATAAAAAATAAAATACTATATAATTTAATAATTTTTATAAATAAATATTTAATTATTAATAATAAATATTCTATTATATTAATAAGATTAAATTGAATAGATTTTTTTAAAGTAAAAACTAACTATAAAATTTATATTAAAAGCTTAATTATTTAGACTTAAAATAATATATTTTATTATTTGTATAACATCTTTGTCAAGGGAAGTATTGTTACTTTATCAATTGATATTTTGTCTATATGTTTAAGTTTTTTTTTTAATCATACTTTTATTGCACAATTTCAAATATATTTGTTATGGGATGTATTGTTGCTATATGATTTTAACATAATTCTTTTAATTTCTTATGAAACAATCACTCACGCACCATCTCTCGTTGATATTTGAAAAATACATAAGCTCATTTAAAAATATAATATTTAGAGATAAATTAAGAAAAAATGCGAATTAATAATTATTTTTAATTATTAAATTATCTTTATATTAAACTTACTAATAGAGATATCACTATTGACTTTTTATAAGCTCTAAATTAAGGTATTTAAGTTATTTCTCATAACTATATAAAAAATTGCATACTATTAGTAAAAAAAATAAAATCAATCCTAGTAAGAAAGACACAGATGAGTATTAGATTCACTCCCTTTGGATTCAAGAAATCAATTTTACTTGATTGTTAAAAAAAAATTATTATTTATTTTTTACCTTTTATTGAAAGTACAACTACCATTTGCAATAGTTCAATAACCCATCTATTATAATGTTTTTCGTTTTAGTCTCTCTTCCTAAGAAGGATAGTTTACAATTACTTTGGAAATGCCAAAATGCATCACAATTAACCAATTTCAAAAGCAAGAGTCTAATCCCAAGACTTATGATCTCACTCTTGTTTTGTACAAGAATCGTCAAGAAATAAGGGAAACGCAATCAACTCTTCTTTTACAAGAATGCTTCGTACTTGCCTTTCTTGCCTTCTGCTCCTTATATAATGCGTTCCTAGCAGTCTTTCCTATCTTCATTCTTATCTCTCTCAATAACTCTTTCTTCATTCTCTGCTTTGTTTTGTGGTTCAAAGATGAGTCAGATTCCTGAAGAAATGCCATTACTCTTAACATGCTTAAGCAGAAGATGAGTGAGTTTGCAAAGGAAAGGGATGCGGACCAGTTTCATAGCCCAAGGAACTTCCTTTCGGCTCTGGGATGCTTCTGTTTTAAAACCCATAAAGATGAAAGAAAATGCTCTCTGTTTGTTCTGGTTGCCCCTTTTACAAACATCATTTGTTTATGTTATTTTCCTAAGATGACCATTTTTTTGTTCATTTTTTAAGAATAATTTTAGATTATTTTCATTGAGGTGTTCTGTTTCTGTTTGTATGTCATCCAAAAAAGAAGCAAAGGTCTCATGTGGAGTCATTTTATTGTTACTGACCCAACATAGTAAATTTGTTATCATGGTTTATGTAATTGAAACCTTCAATTTATTTATTTTTCAAGTTATCCACTTTTAAATTTTTTAATTGTTAAATCCTAAGGCTTTTCATATTGGCCAAGGTTATGATTTTTAGTGTTCCCAAAATTATTAACTATTTTTATGTTTATTTTATTTAATGTATGTTAAATATATTTTATTAAACACTTTAAACCGTGGATTGAATTATTTTATAATTTTGAAAAAATAAATATTTTATTTTTAATTCAAAAAATTAGTCTTAACTTCTACACAAACGTTAGAAAAATCAATTTTTTTAACATGTCAAGATAAAAAAAATATTCATAAAATTGAAGTGCATTAATTTAGGTGTTTTGTGTTATTTTTTAATTAAATTAAAATTTTATTTTAATATTTTACACCATAAAAATTAGCATTGAAGGTAAGCAGCCATTAATGAGATATAATTTTAATTTTAATTAAAAAAATATAAAATGTATTTATAATATTAAAGGTAACTTTAGTCTTAAATTATTATAGTAATGAAAATCACAAAATTTAATTAATTCAATACATATGAAGTGTTTTATTTTTAATTAAATTTAATAATTATTATATGTACAATATTATAGTAATTTAAAAAATTAAGATGCTTTTCATGATAATCCGCCAGTGCATTTGCATGTTTTAGTTGTTGTTTTAACGGTTATAGTTAAATGTATGATAAAAAATAAAAAATAAAATAAAAAATTTAATTTAAGCTCTTAAGACTAATTTCAAGTAATTAACTATAAATTTTTTTATTAAAAATAAAAATAATTATTATATTTTTATAACTTTTAATATAATTGATGTATTTTTTTTTTTAATAAAAACTTTGTATTTTTAACATTTATTTAGTGAAAATGATAGGATAAAACATAATAATATGTAAACAAGATAAAAATAAAATATGATAAAAATTGATTAATTTTTATCTTATTATATATTTAATGTATACTAAGACAGTAAAATAGATAACATTATGTCATATATTTAATGTTTGAGATAAAAAATAAGAATAATAAATTATTATATTTGTTATATTTAAACAAGTTGAAAAATGATTAAATCTCAAATAAAATCAGAATGTAATTAAAATTAAATAAATTAAAATATTAAAATAAAATAAAAATATTATATTAATATATTTTTATATTCTTAATTATATTATTATTAATATTTAATTATTTAATTATTATATTAATATATTATATTATAATTTTTTATTTATAATAAATAAAAATTATATTTTGTTTAAAAATTAAAACTAAATAAATTAAAATTTAAAAATAAAATAATAATATTATATTAATATATTTTTATTTTTAATTTTATTATTATTAATATTAATATTTAATTCTTTAATTATTATATTAATATATTATATTATAATTATTTTTATTTATAATAACTAAAAATTATTTAAATATAAATTATATTTTATTCAAAACTAAAATTTAAAAAATTGATAAAAAATAAAATAAGAAATTTAATATATATATATATATATATATATATATATAATCATATAACAAATAATATAATTTTAAATAAATTATATATAATCATATTTTTTTTAACTTACCGAATGTTTCATTTTTATTGATTTAAATTTTTTGAGTATAGTACTCATAAAAAAATTTTAGAGTACTATAACACACACCTATAAATTAAAATTTTATTTTAATATTTTGCATCATAAAAATTAGCATTGAAGGTAAGAAGTTATTAATGAGATATAATTTTAGTTTTAATTTTAATTAAAAAATATAAAATGTATATAAAATTACGGGTAACTTTTGTTTTAAAAAATCATTATAATAACCTTGTAATGAAAATAATAAAATTTAATTAAATTTAATACATATTATATGTACAATATTATAGTAAATTAAAAAATTAAGATGCTTTTCATGATAATCCACCAGTGCATCTACATGTTTCAGTTGTTGTTTTAACGGTTATAGTTGAATGTACGATAAAAAATAAAAATTTTAATTTAAACTCTTAAGACGAATTTTAAGCAATTAACTATAAAAATATTTATTAAAAAGAGTAATAATTATTATATTTTTATAACTTTTAATATAATTTATGTATTTTTTTTTAATAAAAACTATATTTTTAAGACTTATTTAGTGAACATGATAGGATAAAAAATGATAATATATAAACAAAATAAAAATAAAATATTATAAAAAATTAATTAATTTTTATCTTATTATATATTTAATGTATACTAAAATAGTAAAATAGATAACATTATGTCATATATTTAATGTTTGAGATAAATAATAATAATAATAATAATAATAATAATAATAATAAAAGTGACAAAATTACTCTTTTATTAAAATTATAATTTCTTAAAAATATTTTTATTTAAATTTTTAATAAAAATATATAAATTAAAATTTTGAAATATTTTATTAGTATATATAATATTAAAATTTTGATATTAAATTATAATAAAAGTTTTCAATTTTTTTACAGTTAAAATTTATTTTTAATGATAAAAAAAAATTTAGTAGCTAAAATTTAAGTGTATTATGAAAATAAGATTAAATTATAATACAAGTATTTTTTAAATCAGTTTTAATTTCATAATTAAAAGTTATAATTTGTTAGAATACGTTGATACTTATTTAAAAATCATAAGATTTTTTATTTTTTTTTACATTTTGATCTTTTAGTCTAATATAATTAATAGAAATAAAAAATGTATATAATTACTTTTGTAAAAACTAAATTATAATAATTTTTATGTAAGAACCTAATTAAAAATGTTAAGTATAATAGTATTACATACTATAATTTAACCTAATTTTTATATAAAATTATAAAATTTAATATAACTTTTATTTAAAATAATATTATAAATTTAATAAAAATTAATTAATTGTTTTTATTATATGGTTTTTGGATTAAAAAAACGTTTATAATATTGTTTTTTAACACTAATTTTTGAAGTTAATTTTAAGAATATGACTGGTTTAAAAAGTTAATATTTACTATATTAAACTATAAAGTGTGATAAATATTTTTATTTGAAGGATAGTTGAAGTGAGCGAGACTCTAGTCCATGCTAACAACATTCTTCAACTCTTAACATATCACTTGAGTTTTTTTTGTGCTTTTTTTTTTTTTTTGCATGCATGTGTATTGGTTTTTTAGTAGCTAATATTTGTTTTTTTAGAGTTTTCAAGATTAGGAGTGGGTAAAAATTCAAAATAAAAATTCAGTCCATAACCTAAGTCCAACTAAATTTATAAATTCAAATTTTTAAAGAAATAAAAAAACATAATTTATAAGAAAAAATTTGATCTAATATTTCAAGATAAAAATAAAGAAATATTTTATGCTCTAGTAAATATAAAACAATTATAACCGTTAATTTTAGTAATAAAATTATTAATGTATTTTTAAAAAAAGTAAATATCCTTAAATATCTTTTTAGAGAAACGTTTCAATATCTCTTAAGTTTAGAGTAACAAGTAACATATATCAAAAGTGAATATAATTTGAAAACGCTAGATTTTTCTTTCTCAACAATGTTAATTAGCCTACAATAGTAAGATTGATTTGCAATAGTAGTTTGCAGCTTGCAATAAGGATTCAATTGTAGCATAGCAGCCTGGATTCACTCATAGCATCGCAGGTGCTTTTTCCCTCCTCTTCAATGGATTTTCTCTAATATTATGAAATCTGAGCACACTGTTTAAGATATTTTCATGCCAAAATAGGAATAAGGTGGTATGTGGGAACAAACAAAAGCAAAAGAGTGTGTTTGGCTTCTTCCTTTCTAGTTCTTGGGGAGAGAAGGAATAAGAGAGATTGACATTAGAGGGTCATATGCTTAGAACCTAGTTTTTGGAACACAGTGTTCTTTATACAAATTCAAAGTCACTGATACAAAAGATAATTCTTCTTACTGTTATCCTGTTTTCTTGCTTGTTACTGTACTCTTGGACTCGAGGGCATGAATATTTTATTTAAATTATACTAAAATATTAAAGAATACTTATGTTCTTTTTTTAAATAAACTATTAATTTCATTATTAAATTGTTTCACATATAAAATAGTATAGAATACCTCCTTAGAGGTAGAATTTATCTTTTTTTTTTCTTTTACTCCTTTTTCTGTATTATCTTTGTTCCTTTTCTTTTCCTCCTTATTAGAGTTTGTGATCATGAAGAAGAAGAGACTAGAATAATTTTTTATTAATACCGTAAAAGATTATAAGAGGGGTATCTTTTACAAAGATAAAACTGATAGACTATATCAGCGATAACAAACTGTAACAAAATAATAACTAACTAATTGCTTGACAAGTTTCCTTTACACCTCCCTTCAAACTCATGGTGGAAGCTAATGAAACCTTGAGTTTGGATCTGAAGATTGTAATTTGTGGATTTGAAATAGCTTTAGTGAGAATATCAGGAACCTGAAATTCAGCAGGTAGATGAACAACAAGACTTTATCACGAACAAAATGCAAATCTAACTCAAAATGCTTTGTGCGAGAATGCATAATAGGTTTCGCAGCAAAGTGGACAACTTTATCACAATAAATTCTTGGCAATACAACTGGAACACAGAACTCTCTCAGCAAATTCTGCAGCCATAAAATATCAACAGTGACAGCAGCTAGTCCTTTGTACTCAACCTCAGTACTACTTCGAGAAACAACAACTTACTTCCTAGAAGACCATGATACAAGATTTGGTCAAGATACACATAATAACCTGTGATAGACTTTCTATCATCATGGTCTAGACCCCAATTTGGGTAAAAAAAATCCCATGATATGTAGCTGCTGCAAAGGTTTTATGTGCAAGTCTCCCCCATACTTATCTGTTTGTTTGTCCTCAAGCAAAGTGCTGATTAAGTGAATAACATAATAACTTAAAACATATTACCACACACAGAACCCGAAACAACGGAGATTAAGGGAGCAACAAGAGTAATATCAATGAGCATAAGCAATCAAAAGGATTTCCAATTAGAATCTTATAATTCCATACTTTTCACTCAAATGTCAAACTAAGGTACTCTACTTTTGTCTCTCATTAAGGGACAAAATGAGATATCACTCAGTTCTCCTAAAGAAAAGTGTACTACCATAGGCTTGATTATAAACCGACTCTCCACTAAATAAATTAAATGCAAGTAAAAATCATGAGGTCTTTTTCAGGTTATAATGTGGCTAAGAGGTTATAATAATTGAGGTGAGATAAATGAAAGAAAGGAATATATAAAGGGGTAATAAATTGTAAAAATTATAAACATCCCCTAAGTTAACAAATTAAGCTCTTGAAGTAATTTTTATATTTTTGAATATAAACAATATCTTTACTCCTCTCTCTTTTCAATCATATATAACCCTTTTTCTTTTTCTCCTTTCAAAGTGGGCAACTAGTTGTATCTCAAACATGATGATGGCCAAGAATAAAAATCTTATTATGCCTCAATCACATTAAAAACATGCAATTAAAAAGAGAAGTCTTAAGTGGGTTCCAAGTCAAGTTCTAGAGCACAAATCCTAAAGAGATAATCACACAAAACAATGAGGAAATCCCCTTTAAGGCTCAAAACTCACATCTGTGGGTTAAAGTTAATGTAGAGCATAAAAGTAAGGAACCTAGCTAATTATTAGTTTCCAAATGAAAGTATAATGCCAATAATAATCACTCAACATGCTCTTCTATATGGAAAAATTGGGTTCCATGAGGGAAAATGTTTTAAATTATCATAAAAAAATAGCATAGATACTTTACTCAAGAACATGTAATTAACAATTATATAATTAGGAACTACTCTCCTATACTTAAAGCAAAACATTGTCCTCAATTTTTGAAAGCAATCACAGAGCGCTTTATGAAAATAAGAATTGCCTATAGTGCATGGAATTGTAAAACTCCCTAGATCCATAAGCTTAGGCGGCAGCTTCCTTAGTAAAATTGCTGAGCACTCCTCATTCAATCTGACTGTCTCGAATTCTTTCAATTTCTTTTTGTTGCTTAGCATCTCCTTGAGAAATTTAGCATATTTCGGCATCTGTGATATGGCTTCAACAAAAGGAATATTGATGTGGAGCTTTCTGAGGATCCCAAGGAACTTATTGAACTGAGGGTCTCTCTGGCTACTCATCAATTGTTGTGGAAATGGAACTTTCAGTTTTGTCACCACTGGTGCATCTTCCCTTGTCTCCTTTTTCGCATCTGGCTCCGTCTAGCACGGTTGTGCCTTCGTTGTCTGCAAGGGCGTGCTGTTCTAAGCACGGCCGTTCTGTTTCAGGCAGCATTGGCGTGCAGGGTTATGCAAGGGCGTGCTCCTCCTTCAGCACAGGCGTGCATGACTTATGTGTTTGCGTCCCATTCAAATTTTTCCCACTTCTTAGAGTAATGGCATTGCAATGCTCCCTTGGATTAGGCTCAGGTTGAGATGGTAGTATTCCTATCACTCTTTGACTCAGAAGATTCGTAATTTGCTCCAATTGTGCACTCATCTTAGAGGAGCTGGCTTGTATTTCATATTTAACCTCTGCGAACCTCTTATCAGTTCTCTCAATATGTTGGTCCAACTTGGATTCAAGCTCTGTCATCCTCTTATCAGAGTAATGCACATATTGCATCATCTGTTCTTGAAAGTTGGACTGAGATCTAGGAGCTTCTTTTCCTTCAGGTCTTGCTCCCTGACTTTGCATATAAGGACGGCGATAAACACTTGAATTTTGAGTTCCAAAGCCATTCCCCCAAGAGTTAGGAGGATTACTCCCCCACCCTGAACTGTGATTGCTCATGAAATTTGCCTCCTCTTGCTTAGATTTTGGGCTTGCAAGAGCTCTTACAGGTTGGTCTTGAGCCTTCATTAAAGATTCTAGTTGCTTTGTAAGGGCTGCCATTTGGTTCATTAGTGGGTTGTTGCTCTTTGCTTGGTAAATTGGGGCAGTCTCTTTCCTCTTGATGTTAGCAGTGTGCCACTCAAAGCTAGAAGATGTCATCTCATCGATCAGCTTGTATGCATCATCTGGATCTTTTCTTATGAGGGACCCTCCTGTTGTGGCATCAATTGTAGCCCTAGTAGTGATTGATAGGCCACTGTAAAAAATTTGTACATATCTCCATGTCAAAAAATCATGATGAGGACATCTCCTTAAAAGCACTCCAAATCGCTCCTATGCTTCGAATAAGGATTCTACTTCATATTATTGGAAGTAACATATCTCTGTCATAAGCTTAGAGGACCTTGATAGGGGAAAGTACTTTCCCAAGAATTGTTAAGTGAGATCCTCCCAAGTTTTGATGGAGTTGGTTGGGAGTGAGGAAAATCATGCATTCACCTTTTCAAATACCGAGAATGGGAAAAGACAGAGTCGAATAACATCATTGGAGACTCCATTGTATTTTATGGTATCTGTCAATCGGAGGAACTTTGTTAGATGTAAATTGGGGTCTTCATTAGGCATGCCTCCAAACTGTATGGAGTTCTGGACCATGGTTATGAGTGCTGGTTTCAATTCAAAATTGTTTGCCTCCACATTAGGGGCTGCGATACTTCCAGGGGTGCCTTTAGCAGTGAGTGTCATGTAATCTTGAATTGATTTCCTTCTCTCTACCATTCTTTGCTCTCTCACTTCTTTTCTTTGTCTACGCGTTGTTCTCTTAATCTCTGAATCAAATAAACAAGTTGTAAAGCACTTAGAACGAGTGAGCATACATTAAAACAAATTGTGAAATGAAAAAAATTAAAATAAAATAAATACGAAAATTATAAAAAAAAATTAACAATAAACAAAACAACATAAAATAAAACACAAATTGCTTAAATCAATTAAATTTGAGATTTTCTTAATATTGAAAAAGCAATCCCCGGCAATGGCGCCAAAAACTTGTTCAGAGGGCAAGTGTACCCATCGAGAAGTAATAAAGGGTTCTTAAATTAAGTTCTTGAAATATCGTCCCATAAGGATTGATTTTCAGTTACTAAGAATTTCCTAATTCAATTGTTTAAGCTTCAAAGATACGGGATTAATTAAAAACAAGAATTTATAAAATTAATTATAAAACTAAGAGTAAAGAATACAATGCACGTCTTGGTTAAACTTATCGGAGAGGAATTTAAGGCATATGAGTTTTCTCATTCAATCATTTATGTTATTTTTCTATTTAACTCTAAATTCGATTTCCTTGTAATTACCAATCATTCATACGAATACTATTAATACCCAATGTTCATGCAATATTAATATTCTTTTCTCTAAATCAACATCCCCAATGGTCATGCAAGACATTAATTTAAGAAAGCTTTAAGAGCCTACAAACTTGTTAATTTAATAACGATTAGAAGAGAAAGATTGGTTTGATCCACCTAATCCTTTGTCTCGTTTTACCATATAGATCTATTAATTAATCGAGGTACGGTCGCCTAACGATATAATTAATTAGGATTAAGAGAGAAGTGCAATAGGATAAAGTCTAATCATGAAACGGAAATCAAATTTAGATTCAAACATCAAAATCTCATAAAATCATGAACAATAGTTCCCATAGCCCTAGCTATGGACTTAGTTACTCATGCTAAAGAAAAGAACTAAAACAATCATAGACAAAGCCATAATCAAAAGAAATAGCCAACTAGAGTGTGAGATGTGTTCTCGGTCTTCAACTACGATTGCTTGAAGCTCCAAGTCTTTCCAAGCATATGCCAAGGATCCTGTGCAAGAGAGACGAGATGAGAGATGTATCCCAAAGCAAAAGCCAAGATGTCAAAAACGGTCTTCCTAATGGTGCCTCAAGTCTTCCTTTTAATAGGGTTTGAAAACCCTAAAAACTCTTCATAATTGGGCTTCCCGCAGATGAGCACGATCGTGCAAGGCCTTAAGCACGATCGTGCATGGGCTTAAAGCACCCCCGTGCTTATTTGAAGGGTCTGGGCATGCTGGCTCCTGCGAAGCTCTAATCTTCTATCAATTTGGGCCAAAATGCACCCAAAATCCACTTGCGGCCTCTTTATACCAAACTACATAATTAATATATAAATTAGTGTAAAACCCAAATAAAATAAAGGTCAAATATGAATATATGAGCTGTAAAATAAGGCCTAATTACAGACTTATCACCATATATGATTGAACCTTGGAGATATCATAAAATCCATTTTACTGCCCGCCAATGATGCTTTTATGGTCTATGCATAAATTAATAGACCTTATTAACGGAGAATGAAATTTCAAGCCTTGTCACAATGATGTATTGAAGAGTTCTTACAATGCTCTGATAGTGAGTAGGATCCTGAACTGAGAAAGACCCATCAGTAATAAGATTTAAACCAGAAACCATGGGAGTTGGTTGAGGTTTAAAGTCTAACAGATTGGTTTTATGAAGCAGGTCTCTTATGTATTTTGATTGAGACAATAGAATACCACCATTAGAATGATGTTGAACCTCAATGCTAAGAAAATAATGAAAAGAACCTAGGTCCTTCAAAGAAAACTTGTGGTTAAGATGAACAATAAGAGAGAAGATTTTAGAAGAAGAAGAGTTGGTGATGATAATATCATCAACATACACTAACACATAGGTTTTGGAGGTAGCTGTAAATCTCATGAAAAGAGAAGTACCTCTCTTGGCTGAATTAAATCCCAAGGACCTCAAAGTCATATTGTGTTTATGAAACCAAGCTATAAAGAGCTTTGAGCAGTTTGCATACTTTGTGTTTGTTAGATGAAACAAAGCCTGGTGGTTGAGTCATATATACAGTTTCTTGAAGATTTCCATGTAAAAAGATATTGTTGATGTCCATTTGATGAGTAGGCCATTACTGAGAAATTGCAAGTGTCAGAACAGTTCTAACTATTGCTGGCTTAATCACTAGACTAAAGGTTTCTTTAAAATCAGACCTCTCTCTTTGATGATACCTCTTTGCTACCAGCCTGTCTTTGTGCATTTGAAAACTTTCATCAGCATTAAACTTGCTTTTAAACACCCATTTGCAGCCTATGGGCTTACAACCGGGAGAAGGATCCACCAAGGACCATGTATCATTTCTGATAAGTGCGTCATGTTCTTCTTTCATAGCTTTAAGTTATTCAGGCTTTGCCATTGCTTCCTTTATAGTATGTGGCTTAATAGTGTGATCATAGCTCCCTTCCTTGTAAGAAGCATAAATTTTCGGTTTAAAGACACTAGCTTTGGTTCTGGTTGTCATTTGATGAGTATTATGAGGAACAGAACCTACAATAGAAGATGAAATAGCTATGGCACAAGAATTATTAGTATCACACTATAAAGGAACATTAGGTGATGAATCAGTTGTATCATTATCATTTTGGAAATTTTGAGCAGTAAGAGATAAAACGAGCAAAGGATTAGAGGAGGTAGAATTGGAAAAGAAAGAGAATAGACAGAAACAAAAGGGTTGGCAAGAAGTTTATAAGGAAAAACTAACTCATGAAAGATGATATATCTAGAGACGTAACATTTGTCAGAAGGTGAGAGGCATTTATAACCCTTGCGCTGAGAACTATAACTAATGAATAAGCACATATGTGACTAAAAATCAAATTTATGTTTATTATAAGGTCTTAACAAGGGATAACAAGCACATCTAAACACTCTCAAGAACTTATAATCTGGCTTTTTATGAAACAATTTTTCAAAAGGACTCATTTTTAAAGGCAGCTGAAGGAAGACAATTGATTATAGTAGCTGCAATGCTGAATGCCTCTCTCCAAAAATTTAAAGGAAGAGAAGCAGAAGCTAACAGAGTGAGATCAGTTTCTGTCAAATGTCTATACTTTCTTTCAGGGGTACCATTTTGTTCATATGTATGGGGACAAGTCAATCTGTGATGAATCCCTTGTTCAGTAAGATAAGGAGTAAAGGTGAGATACTCTTTTTCATTATTAGATTGTAAAGCTTTTAAAGTTGTGACAAGTTATTTTTCAGCAGAAGATTTAAATTGAAGGAAAGCAGTAAATGCTTAAGATTTATTTTGAAGCAAATACATCCAAATGTATCTAGAGAATGCATCAATAAATATTATGTAATATTTTGATCCACTAGAAGAAGTTAAGGGGGTTAGACCCCAAATATTTGTGAATACAAGATCAAGAGGACTAGTGTATGCTAACTTAGAGGTAAAGAAGGGAAGCTGACGTGCCTTCCCCATACAACATGATTGACAAAACAAAGAAGTAGTAGAATGATTACATGGTATACTACAATGACTGAGTACTGATCTAATAGTTTTAAGAGAGGCATAGCAAGTCTTGAATGCCAAAGTTCCAAGGTTATGAGTGAAGAATCTTTTGCAGAATGGAAAACAAAAATATTGTTTTGATGCTGAAATTTAGGAAAGACATATAGACCCTTGCTAAACTTGCCTTGAAGAAGAGTCTTCTT